AAGTACTGATCAATACATTCTTGGGTGGAAAAACTACAAAGGAAAGGTTAGCCCAGATGTTCCCAGTGGTGACCTAGTGAGACGAGTGTGGCTGTGGGTGGGAAGGGGTGTCGGTGGGTTCTGGGCCAGGCTATATTTCCTCTTTTGTTTATGTGAATGTTCACCTTATAAAGATGTGTTAACTTATACTTTCTATGTCACGCACTTTCCCAAAAGTATATTTCACAACAAAAAGAATATAAAAAAAAAAAAAATCACATGGAACCCAATTACCGAGAGAGAGTGATTTGAATGCATTGGTGTGTGTCTAACTGCCAACCTTCTTTAATGCCGTCTACTTATTCTGTCCACATTGCTTTGTGGTCCCCTTTAAGTTTTTAATTTTTTTCTTAATGATATATCTTCCCAGAAGACTCCCTCTTTGGTTTTTTTTTTTTTCTTTCCATTTTGATTTAATTTTAACTAAAAGTAAATATCATGCAAGCTTTATGCCTCTCTGGAAGCCTAAAGCCTTGGAGTGGCTTTCAGGAAATTAGGTTGCTTTAGTCTAAGCTACATCGATTCATAAACCCATCTACAGGATTTTGCCATAGCTCATGGGAGACTTTCCCTTCTCTGTGAATAATGCGGCTGCTTCAAAAGAGAGAAAGAGCGAGAGAAAGAAAGAAAACACTTTTCATCTCTTCAGAGTGCTCTATTTTCACAAGGAAAGGCCAGACAGACGGGAAAAGGTCAGCAGGGAGTGGCCGGGTTGGGGGGGCGGGGGTTGAGGCTGGGGAGGAGATCCGCCTGAAACTGACTGCACCCGTGCCCTACCAGGCTCAAGCCGAGCGGACGCAGCCAGTACCAGGAAGCGGATCCTCACACTGATCTGGGGATTCTTTTTGAAACCCCACAGTAATTCCAGTACTTTTTCTTTTCTTGCTTCTGAGTTGGCAGCAGGGTGCTTCCCTCTGCCCGGAACCCTCTTCCTGTCCCCTTCTCTGAGCTCAGGACACCTGCTTCTTCACCCAGCGAAGCAGGGTCACCCTGTTCTGAGGCCACCTAGTGTCCTTTCCACAAACGCTCTGCTCCTCTGTGAGCTCTGGGCACGGAGGCCTGGATCCGTGAGGCCTGGGCCTGTGTCTCTGCCGTCTGTCCAGACACAGGGGCACGTGCCACTCAGTACATATGTTGGTTGGAAGAATGAAGACTGGAAAGTGAGACGAGGCTTGGTGGAGGGGATGGAGACCATTATCCCAGCCCCTTGATCTGGAGAGCACAATGGCTCCTGGTAGCCCAGATGTTCCCACGTGGCTGGGTACAAAATTTAAAAATACACAATGGCACTGTTTCCAACACTGGCTAATAATAGCAGTTTGGTGGCAGAGCGCCTGGCGAGCATGTGTGGGACACTGGGTTTGATCCTTAGCACCCTATAAAAATAAAGCAAATAAAATAATAGCAGTTTGAATTCATAGTGCAGTTGACATTCCATTAAACAGCTTCACATATCTCCCAACAATAAGTCATCGGATATAATGAAGGGATGTTTCTGTCACCATGGCTTGAATATGTCTCCCAAGGTTCACAGGTTGGGAACTTAATCCCCAAATTCATTCGTTGGTGGTATCTGGCGGCAATATTTGGGCAATAGTTCGGACTAGATGAGGTCATCGTGATAGGGTCTCCGGCATTGTACTGGTGGTGCTATAAGAAGAGGAAGAGGGACCTAAGCCGACAGGCTCCCACAGTCTCCTTCCCCCATGTTAAGACACAGCTTTCATGAAGGTTTTCACCAGATACTGTGTCTTGACCTTGGACTTCTCAGCCTTTAGAACTTTAAGAAATACATTTCCTTAAAAATCACCCCATTTCCAGGATTCTCTCCTGGCAATGCAAAACGGACCAGGACAGGTCATTTTGTAGATTGCAAACCTGTCCGAGAAAGATTAAGTAACCGATCCTACCTTAGTTTTCAGTGTTAGCCAGGAGTTGTGGCCCCTTAGATTCTGGAAAGTGAAATGCATAGAGGGAGCACTACCCACAGACGTATTTTTAAGGTACGAGGGATATTAAATAAATATGTGCCACCACACACACCTGCAATCCCAGTGGCTCCAGAGGGAAGGCAGAGGACTACAAGTTCAAAATCAGCCTCAACAACTTAGTGAGGCCCTAAGCAACTTTGCAAGACTGTCTCAAAACAAACAAACAAACAAACCAAAAAATCAGTTTAAAAGGCTGGGTATGTGGCTCAGTAGTTAAGTGCCCCTGGGTTCAAATTCTGGTACAAATGTGTGTGTGTGTGTGTGTGTGTGTGTGTGTGTGTGTGTGTCCATTCTGACTTATCCTCAGTAGATATTTCTGAACCACTGCAGTCTATTAAGAAGGAAAGATAAAAAGTCACATGTTCGTAACATCCTTTATGAGGTAGCAATAGAAACACAGGAGTAACTGTGTCTATCAAACATAAAAGCATTTTCTTGTGTGTTGATGATATGGTTTGAATGTGTCCCCCCAAAATTCATGTCTTGAAGACTTAATTCCCGGACTCATACATTCATGGTATTTGGAGGTGGGATCTTTGGAAAGTGATTAGCGTTAGGGGAAGTCAGGAGAAAAGGGTTTCTATGTTGGCATCAGTGGCTTTAAAAGAAGGAAGATGTCACCCAGTACACTTGTTCTGATGCAGTGGGAGGCTCTCCCTAGATGCAGCACCATGATTTTGGACTTCCTCCAGAACCGTGAACTAAACACACCTCACTTCTTTGTCAGTTACCCTGTCTGTGGTATTCTGTGATGGCAAAAGAAAACAGGCAAAGTCAACTGACAATGGGGGAATGTTTGGGATTTTGCTTTCTTACCCCATCTACTCTCTGAACATAAGCTCTTCTCTTGTTGGTAGTCCTGCAGAATCAGTGCAGCAGGACAAAGGGGTTGGAGGAGGAGAAAAAGAAAAGAATATGGTCAAATGTGACAATGGTGTGGTTGGACAGGTGGGATGGGGTGGGCCAAGCCAACCATGGCAAGCGGTGCTTCTTTGAGTCAGCTACTCCAGAAACCAGAAGCATCTGCACCATCAGGGATCCTGTGAGGAATTCAGAGTCTTGACCTCAGCTCAGTCCTCCCCATCAGAATCTGCATTTGAACAAGACCTCAGGTGCTTCACAGGCTGTGCTGCAGCAGGCCAGGCTCTGAGGGGCCCCCCAGCAGTCAGAGCCAGACTTGCTCAGTGTCATCAGCCTTGGCCCTATTAATAGAGAGAACTGGTTTGGTTGCCTAGAGACCTGGAAATCTGATTGCTCCAGATTGACTCCGGGTTTCAGTGTTCTCTGAATGCTTTAGCCAAAGCCTTGAGATTCCCAGGCTGCCTCAGTTTCTCTGCTGAGCAGTTCAGTTCTCTGCAGGGATTGGACCCTTGCCCCAGACCCCACCTCCCTTGGCTTGGGTCCTGATTCTCTGTCAAACTCTTTGAGCTGCCTCCTTCCCTTGGAAGGCAGGATGTGATTTCCTCCTCCTTCACAGCTCCTGGCAAGGGGCCTGCTGCCACTGGACTGACTGCTTGGAAGGAGGCCTGATTTTGAGGGCTTTCCTGGACTTCTGCCAGGACTGGGCTCTGCTGGTGGACTGGACTCATGCAGATATCCCGATCGCCTGGATGGATCCTAGTGGGTCATGCCTTTCAGCCGCTGCTCACTGGCCTGCCTGGCTGCCTCAGGGGGATGGCCAGCTTCTGCAGACAGGTTTGTCCCTCCTGTCCTGTTGCATATTGGCTTCCTCCCCTGTCCCACTAGCCTGAGTTGCACTGGTCCCAGCTGCTCTGTACCCCAAATGTCTCCTACACGAGAGGGCGAGACCAGCAGAGGCCAGGGAAAGCGGGCCACTGTTCCTCGGCTTTCTCAACTCCAGGGATTCCAGAGCCTCTTTCTGTGTGACCTTGAAATCACAAAGACTGAACTTAGAGCTCTTCAGAAAGAAGACGGTCCAGAATCCTAGATGGTACAAACAGGCTGAATGGTTTTGCATAACTACTTACTTCTTGGGTTCCTTTTTCCAAAGAAGAGAAAAACTTTCTGTGGCCTGATTTATTTCGCCATTATAGGCCATTCCACATGGAAGCTCAATAATTTCTCTGGTTACCATACCACCACTTCACTTAGACTGTTGGTACTTTACCTCCTGCCATGCTTCATTTATGGTAGTTCATAAATTATATGGAGGGTGGCACATCTGCTCCTGTGTTTTAAGCCAGCACCAAATGTCATGAAGTTCAACCAGGTTAGCTGTCAGCTAGGGAGGCCAATTTTTAAATGACTATTACTCCCCATTAATTAGTAATAAAGCACTCTTTAAGACACTTGTGTCATTTCTATTCCTAAGAACTTTTGTTATGATTTGGGGGGTGGGAAGAGGAGAAAGAAAACAGTAGTGTGGCAGCACCCCAGTGGTGAAGTAATGGTGTGGGTGTTGCTTCCATTATTTACATACATAACACTTTCCACAAGACTCCAAATGTCTTACTAAAGAACATACAATGCCAATTGCAATAAAGATGCGGTAACACAGTATGATATGAAGAAAACAATTACCCAAAGGAAAATTCAAATCTGGCATAAATCGTTTAGAAAGAATGGAATAAATATATCCATTGACTCAATTTGCACGTACAAAGGTATGCACAGGGCAGCATCCGCCACATTCAGAAAAGAAGTACAGCTGGCCTCTGCATCTGTGGGATCCACATTCATGGATGCAACCAACTGTGGATGGAAAATATTCAGGAAAAAATCAATTGTCAGGGCTGGGGTTGTAGCTCAGTGGTAGAGTGCTTGCCTAGCATGTGTGAGGCCCCGAGTTCGATCCCCAGCACTGCATAAAACAAAATGAACAAAATAAAGGTATTGTGTTTATCTACAGCTAAAAATATTTTGTTTTAAAAATTGCATCTGTACTGAACAGGCACAGATATATTTTCTTGTCATCATTCCTTAAACAATACAGTAAAACAACTATTTGTATAGCATTTACATTGTATTAAGTACTACAGGTAATCCAGAGATGATTTAAGGTGTTTGGGAGGATGTGCATGGGTTATATGCATATAGTACATCCTTTTATTTAAGACACTTGAGCATCTTTGGATTTGGGTATCAGTAGCGATCTTGGCATCAATCTCCCGCAGACACGGAGGAAGGACTGTCATATGCAAGATGAAGGTAAAAGATGATAACAAAAATAAGTGTAAAATCACTTGAATGGGAAATACGTGCTATTTAATGGAATCACTCTAATATTTAACATTGCATGATAATCTCATTGGATTAGAAGAGATGAATACATATTTATTATTCACATATATGTGTAAGTATGGGCATGTATGTATATCGTGTTTATATATATTTGTGTATTTCCAAAAGGTACTCTGTGGGTGAGCAAAATCAAAGATTCCCAGGAAGAAGTTCCTCAAGACTAGAAGGAATAAATGGATAGGAAATATAACATGTTTCATCATTAACTATTCATGCCTCACTTCTTTTATGGTGCATCTTTCCTCAGGTCCAAATTTCCTCAAGATTGACTTCCGTTGATAAATTATGAAGAAGCTGCATTAGAAGTCTGTGTGAAAGGCCCAGTTTTGAGAGAGATCATGAAGGTTCTCCTTAAGTTGCTTTCAGTTTTATGTCTGCTCTTATGTCATCATTTGAGCAGGCCTCCCACCAGCCACTCCAACTTTTGGAAGAAAAACAAACAAAATATAATCCCAATGCAGGGGGGGGAGTCATGAGTGTCTCCCAGGGGAATTTGCAAAAGTACTTTAGAAGCTTAAAGACGAATCATTCTATAGGATTTCATGTCCTGCGGAGGCTGGTACAACATTAATGTATGCAGTAGTTCTAGTCTAGCCACTCAACATTATGTCACCTGTCTCTTTGGTGTCTCTTGTTTCACAAGCCATGTGGCAAAACCAAGGAGGAGACAGTCCCTCTGAGGACTCAGCTTTGAGAAAAGAACTGGCTCCCTCATCGCCAGGGCAGCTCTCACAGGCTGGCTCTGATCCTCTCCTGTGCTCATTCCACCATGTGTTCCTTTCCTTTGTCATAGTTCTCCACAAGTGACTATTGCTATCGGTGCTCCCCAATGAAACCCAGATGCAACCATTGCCATAGACCTTTCCAAAACTAAAATCATCCCTCTGTCTTTTAAAACATTGTTTCTTGGGGGGAAGGACATGCGACATCATATTTGCAATGATATTGAACCTTTCTGCCAAAATTATTATGTTACCTGTAGAGGATTGAATACTCTCCGACTTTCCCTGCCAACAACAACAACAACAAAAAAAATCATGCCCACTTGAAACCTGTGAATATGACCTTATTTGGAAATAGGGACTTTGTAGATGATGTAATCAAGGCGAGATGAGGTCATACTGGATTAGGGTGAGACCTAACTCCAATGTCCCACATCCCTCCAAGGCCATGTAGAGACAAAGGCACATGGAGAAGCCGGCCACGAGAAGACAGGGTCAGAAATCAGAGTGATACAGCTTCACGTCAAGGAATTCAAGGATGGCAGCTGCCAAAAGCTAGGAGAGAGCCTCTTGTCGTGGGATGAAGGTTTGTGTCCTCCTCCCCAAGTTAATATGTTGAAATTCTAATGCCCAGTCCCCAAAGTGATGGCATCAGGAGAAGGGGCCTTTGGAGATGATTTAGTTGTGAGAGTGGAGCTCTTCTGAATAGGAGTTGAGACCCAGGAGAGCTGGTCACGTCAGGATACAAGATAATGGCTATCTGCAAAACAGAAAGAGGGCCCTCATCAAATGCTGGATTTTCCAGAGCTTTGATCTCAGACTTCCCAACCTTCAGAATGTAAGAAATAAATACGTGTGGTTTAAGCCATCCAGTCTATAGTGTTTGTATGTCAGCTGGGGACAGATTCCACCTCAGAGCTCTGGAGTGGGTGTAGCCCTGCCAACTCCTTGATTTCAGACCCCTGATCTCCAGAACTTGAGAGAATATGAATCTGTTGTCTTCAGCCTTCTAGTTTGTGGTATTTTGTTATAGCAGCCCTAGGAAACTAATACATTGTCCAACATACAGATTTTTTTTGGGGGGGGGAAGTACTTTAAATTACATAGAGACTTCATGTTAGTTTTTCCTGAGATCATGAACCTTGAGAAGCTGTGAGATACTTGTCACAGTGACATGGCAAGTGTATACCAAAGCTGTGACGAGCAGCGGGTCATTCTAGCACCACCAGGCAGGTACACCATAAAAGTGAACACTTCATGGATAGGCAGAGTTGATATTGTTGAAATGGTCACACTACCAGGGCAATTTACTGATCCAATGCAATCCCCATCAAAACACCAAGGACTTCTTCACAGAACGAAAAGAAACAGTCTTGAAATCCATTTGGAAGAATAAAAGAGCAAAAGCAATTATAAGTCAACGAAGCGATGCTGGAGGCCTCACAAACCTGACTTCAAATTATACCGCAAATCTAGAGTAACAAACGCTGCATGGTACTGGCGTAAAAACAGACATGTAGACACATGGCACAGAACAGAAGACACAGGGACAAACACACACGGATCTAGAGTCTTTGATCCTTGACAAGGTGACAAAAACATTCATTGGAGAAAACAATTGTGCTAGGACAACTGGTTCTCCACGTGTTTAAAAATGAAACAAGACCCTTACCCTGCACAACAATCAGCTCAAAGTATATCAAAGACTCTGGTATTAAACCAGAAACTGTGCAAACTCCTAGAAGAAAATGAGGGTGAACTCTCCAGCTTTTAGGCCCAGGCAACAACTTTCTCAATGGGTCCCTGAAAGCTCAGGAAATAATGCTAAGGGTTAATAAATGGGATGGCATCAATTTAAAAGGCTTCTGCACAGCAAAGGAAGCAATAAGAATGTGAAGAGAGAACCTACAGAATGAGAGCTACTCTTCTGACCAAAGATTAAGATCTAGAATATAGGCCTGAGGCTGTGGCTCAGCGGTAGAGCGCTGGCCTAGCACGTGTGAGGTGCTGGGTTCAATCCTCAGCACCACAAAAAATAGATACTATGTTCAACTACAACTAAAAAAAGGAAGAAGAAGATCTAGAGTGTATGAACAACCCAATAAACTTAACACTCAAAAAAGTGAATACCCCAATTTAAAAATTGACTAAACATACAAATTAACTAAACATACACTTATCAAAAGAAAAAATACCAATGGCCAACAAATACACTAAAAAACTTGTTCAACATCATGAACAATTAGGGAAATGCAAATCAAAACTACACTGAGATTTAATCTCACTCCAGTCAGAATGGCAGCCATCAAGAACACAAACGGTAATCAATGCCGGAGAGGGTGTGGAGAAAAAGAAACACTCTTACACTGTTGGTGGGGCAGAAAGTTAGTACAACCACTAGGGAAGTCAATGTGGGGGTTCCTCAAAAGACCAGTCAGGGAACTGCCTTACGACCCAGCTGTACCACTCGTCGGTATTTAGCCTAAAAAATGAAAGTCAGCATACTACTATGATACAAGTCTGCCCCTGTTACAGCAGCACAATTCATAAGAGCCAAAATAGGGGACCAAGCTAGGTGTCCATCAACAGATGAACGGATAAAGAAAAATGTGGGACACACACACACACACACACACACACACACAATGGAGTTTTATTCAGTCATAAAGAAAAATGAAATTGCGGCATTTGCAGGAAAATGGATGGTTCTAGAAACCATTATGTTAAGTGACATAACCAAGCTCACAAGGTCAAGAGTCATATGTTTTCTCTATACATGGAAACTAGAGAGGAAAAAAAAAAGAAAAGAAAGGGGTTGGGGACTTCATGAAAACTGAAGGGAGATCAGTGGAGGAAAGAATTAAAAGCAGCAGAGGACAGGGACGGTGAGACTCAGGGAAGCTGTTGTTATTTAACTCCCTTACAGAAATAAAAAACACATTCAAACATGGAAACTGGAGATTAGAGGAGAGGGTTACTGTATGGGGCAGTAAGTGTTGGGCATTTCTCCACCCACTTCTAGAGGGTATTTGGAGCAAAGAGAGGGTAAGGGGTGTCTTTGGATCAGACGTGGGCCATCTGAAGTGAGTGAACAGAACTTGACAGAGAGAAGCTGGAGGTGATGCCAGGTTCTTAGAGGCTGAGGAAGGAGCATCAGCCACATGAAGGTGTATTTGTCCCTCCAAAGGGAAATGCAGGCGAAAGATGTCCTGTCCCCAGGAGTCTCCAAAGAACTCACACAACATGATGAGAGGCCAGTTTGAATGCCAGTTACACTCCATCTTCACAGAGTGCCAGGCCTGAGAAGGGTCCAACTCCCCTATCCTGGATTTCCCAGTGTCCGGGATGTGTGAAGTGACCTTCAGAAAGTGGAAGGAAAGAGCTGGAGAAAGAGAAGACCCCCACAGGCTGCTCCCAATGCAGGAGCCGGAGCTTTAAAACCAAACTTTACTGTTACAGAAAGCTCGCCATTTCAGTTTCTGCCATTTTTGTTTGGAGATCTTATTAGCCAGAAGTGACCAGAAGGATGCAATTTGCTGCACATTTCATTTAAGAGCAGAGCAAGAGTTAAGTCCATACAATACATTTGAAGCATTGCTTTAGGATGGATTGCATCCGCTGAGTCACACTTATTCAGTGGGAGAGTTACGTAACCATTCTTAAATGTAGCGGAATAGTCCCCTTCTTAGTGCCTTCTCTCTATTTTTCATCTACAAAATCACTGAACTTTGGAAAATTGTGGGTCAAATTGTCCTTCCAGAGAATGGTTTCAATGCACTGTTCCATCAGCACTTATGAACTAGCTAAAATGAAAAGAATCATATGCTTGGTATACATTAGGTAATAAATGTTTGATAAATAAACAAATGAATGGGCAGTGAAGAGAAATGCTTATTATCTAGGCTGTTTATAAACCTACACTACACTCGATTCTTTTTCTGTTAGACTACGAACTAACTAGATTTTGTGACTTCTGAGAAATTCCCAACAGACATTTATGCTTTCCTTACATGGAATTATAAAACCCGAGCATCACAAGAAAACTTTGGAGGTGATGCAGTCCAATCCTTTAACTTTATAGATGATGACCCGGAGCAGCTCAATAATTTTATTAAGATCACCTTTTTTATTTTTATTTTTTCCCAGCAGAGCCAATAACTGAACTGGAGACAGAGGCACATCTCATTGCTGGTGGCCCTGTCTGGTTTCTAGGCTTGTTGATGGCTTGTGATTGAGTGACGGCTCATGTTCTCATGGTTAGTTTTCTCACCTTAATGGAGAAGCTGCAGCGGATCACCTTCACCTAGTACACAAACATGAGGTGTGTACCAGTGCTCAGCCCTGCCTCGTAGACGTGCAATAGAGTGAGGAGCTAGGACCAGCTGCTGCCTTTGAGGAGTTTATGGCTACGTGGGGGAGACAAAGGAAAACCAATGACAACAGGGTGGACCAAGTGATGTGATAGATGTGAACGGGGAGACATTCAGAAAAGACACCTGGTCCAGTCTTAAAGCCCTAGAAGACTTGTCAGAGGAGGCCATGTCTCAGTGGAGCCCTGAGAATGAAGAACAAGTAGCAAGCAATTTCTGTTCACCAAACTCTAAGTGCTAAACTGTGGAAGTACCACTGAGTGTACCAAGGGGAGGGAAGAGAGACTGGGCCAGAGAGACAAGCAGGGGTCCAAACATGAAGGGAGTTTGATGATGTCTTGGGGCATGTAGACTTAATGTAGTCAATCAGGATATGCAATAAGCCATTGACTTGAAATCAATCAGGAGTAGCTGAAGTCTCTTTCACAAGAGAACAACAAGACCTGATTCATACCTCGTTCATCTCCATCTAGCCGTAGTATGGATAATGTTTTGCTAGGGATAATAGGCAAAGAGATCATTTGGTAAAATATTAACATATACTGTATTTTGATGAGGTCACAAGGACATGACCCTCGTGAAGGGAGAAGAAACACCAGGGAGCTTACCTCTTCATCCCTCTAGACATACAAGGACATGGCAAGAAGGCGGCTATCTACAAGCCAGGAAGAGAACCCTTACCAGAAACCAACCTTCTGGCATCTTGATCTTGCACTTCTATCGCCCAGATTGTGAGAAAATAAATTCTCATTGTTTCAGACACCTAGTACACGGTACTTTGTTATGCTAGTCCACACTGACCAAGACACAATGAAAGCAGAATAAAGGAGGCAGTGATTTATTTGATCCCGGGAATAGGCAACTGAGGAGCTAAGGTTCGCACAAGTGTCCAGTTGAATTATTCAGTGACACTATACAACCCGTAAACGATCATATCAAAAATCTAAGAATATCTCCAACTGAATAAAGGAAGATAATCAAGCAATGGCAGTAGGTGGATGACAGAGATGTTAGAATTACTTGGCAAAGATTTTAAAGCATGAAAAAAAAAAACCCACTTCAAACTTATTTATAAAAATGCTTGAAAAATACAAAATCTCAGCAAAGAATAAGAAGATACAGAGAGAATAAAATATAAAGATTCCATAACCAAAGTAAAAAGCTCAATGGATGAGATAAAGAGTAGAGTAGAGGGTACAGAGGGAAGAACCTGTAAACTGGAAATCAGCCAGATGGGTAATCTAAACAATAGACAGAAAATACACAGGAAAACAAATCAAGACAGTCTGAGGGACGTGTGGGGCTGTAACAGAAGATCTAACATTCATGTTGTCAGAATGTCTCTGGAGGAGAAAGGGGGCAAGGCTAAAACAAGTTCTTGAAAAATTAA